GGCAGAGGGCATACCTGAAGACTTAATAACTGCAACAAAACAACTGTATGGTTATAAGGATCACATCACATTGACAGGGAGGGCCTAAGGCTGCATTCACAATGCAAGAAAAGCAAAATAAAATAATTAATGCAAGTTACATGAAAATGCAGTACAAACCTGATTTGATCAAACAAAAAATTTTTAAAGAATTACTCCTGACATGAACATGCTCAGACAAACAGGTGACACACTTGAGGTGTGAAAAGTGGACAAAAGCAGGAAAAACAAAACGGCATGTGAAGTTGCTTTGGTCAGGGCGGGGCACAAATGCGTTTGGCTTCAATTCACAAAGTTCATCAGAAAGCAGTTTGAACAAATACGTCGAGGCATCTCTGTGAAACAGCATAGTGTGTTTAAGGCAGCCAGTGATTTAGACGGGCTAGCTGACCGCTGACTTTATATAATCCAGCTGCACGTGAGTGAATCTTCTCATTTCAGAGAATGAGTACATGGTGGGTGCATCCATACGAACAACAGAGATAAAAACAAAACACCCATTTTAAAAACAGGTCTCGGTGTTTCGGGGAAGCAGCAGAACGTTACCGTCTTTGTAGTTTTAACTCTAGATAGTAAAAAGAAGAATCCCTCATGGGAAGCATCTGATGTTCGTTTATCGACTCTCAGAAGTCTCATTGTCATCCCAGCCTTCAGCTTAAAGGGAAAACGAGTGGGGCAGAGGCGTTCATGTGTTCATCTTTGAGTGAACGTCTGCTGATTGTTGTGTTTTCTGTCCTTAAATTCTAAAGACATCCTTGTGTACCAGAAACTTTAAAAGTCGGGTCAGATAAAACCTGACTGAGGACTGGAAAGACCAAATGTGTTTTACAGAAGACTGGGTCCAGTTGCAGAAATGATCATCATGATTGTCAAATACTTGAAAAAACAGACATGAACCTGGAATTTTTCCAGCAGTGGTTTCAGTGGACTAGGACTTTATCCTTGCGTTGCCTGAAGACTAGTGCACCACATCGTTAATGTCATGATCTATATCGTACTTTTCACAAAACTTGCTCGTGATGGGGAGGCAGGTGAGATGCTCCAGCCAGTGCAAGTTGATGTGGTAGACATAAAACCAAACGATGAGTGAGGAGAACAGCCCGACGTAGGCCAGCAGGGACACGATGATCAGGATGTGCTTGCGATATTGGTCAAAGGTCCCAAAGGTGATGTAGGGCAGGAAAGCAAAGGAGAGCAGCATGCCGCTGAGGAAGCCAAAGATGTGGGCGATGTTGTCGATCCACGGCAAAAGGCCACACAGGAAGAGGAAGAGCACGATGCCCAGCAGCTTGAGGAAGGCTTTCCATGGCTTTTCCAGCATCTGCCAGCCATGAAACAGCTCAACAAACAGGCAGGCGAGGAGTCCAAACTGAGACCCTGCTGGACCCACCTGGAGGAAGAGAGCACGAGTAAAGGTCAACGAAGAAAACACCTCGAGATGGTTTGGATTTTCTTGGTTCTACAGTAAATCACAAGAAATGAAAAACTTCCTTCACTTTGCCTGTATTATATTATTCTGCAGGACAAAGCCATGACCTGCATGACTGTATGATCCATCCATCCATCCATCCATCCATCCATCCATCCATCCATCCATCCATGTTTTTGGTCTGTGGGAGGAAACCAGAGTCCCCAGAGAAAACCCACAGATGCATGGAGAGAACATGCAAACTCCACCCTGAAAGATTCCCAGCTAGGATTCGATCCGGAGGTGACAACTCTACCAGCTGAGCCCGATTCAGTTACAAGCTAAGGTAAGCCCTTTATAAAAATAAAAAAAACATTTAATGCGTAAATCAATTCAATGTGCTTTCCATTCGCTGTAGAGCATGTCGAAGGAGAATTTCTGCCACAATTGTGGAAGACAAAGTTTTATCTTTAACTGAACTAAGAGATTTCATTTTCATTTGAGAGTTTGTTAATAGTTGCGTGCTAAGAACAAAACATTTCTATTTAGTCTCAGTATGATCAGCTAGTTGTATTGATACAAATGAGTCAGGTCTGAAAAGGTTTTGGCTGAGTCTCCTGGCTCCGTGAGGATAAAGGTCATGGTTACTGTACCAATCCAGATTTATCCGTTAGTGTCTTAGTTATAGAGATTCCTGGTTCTGAACGGCGGTTTGGGTCATCTGAGAGGAAAGACGAGCAGATCAGTGACGTCAACACCAGGTCTTTGCTTGGGCAGAGGTAGGTGGCTAATCTGTGAACCCATTAAACACCGGCACCTCAAAAACACGTCACTCCGCCCACACGCCTCAGACACACAGGCTAACACGCTCCACACACACGAGCAAAAGTCACCCGCACAGCCACTTACGGCCATGGATAATACTGGAACAGATGCTTAAAGATGAGCAAGAGACAGGAAGTACATCACTGTTCACTGAGGAGCTTTAAATATATTTTAGTCTACATAATCTGTGAACAAAACAATCCCCTCCAAATAGATTTGATGTATATTAAGTTTCTGTTTCCATAGTGTGTGAAACAAAGTTAATCTAATGACTTTTCCTAATGAAGTTTGACAAAAAATATCTTTGTGGTGGTCACGTGTTTTTAAGACGTATAAGGAGTCCTTTACTAGAGGCGTACCTTGATTTTTTGAGATCAGTTAGGCTCAGATTTAGTATAAAGGAAAAAATAAACTGACAATTATTCTCCCAAAGCAGAGGTAGAAAAGCCCTTCGACCCCTCCCCCCCCCCCCTTAATAGTGGGGAGAATCAAGGTCACGTATAGCAAGAATCAGTTATAACCAACTGTCAACTACATTGCTCAGCTGCTAATTTATTTCCAAGTCTTACCATTCATTTTGAATTGTAAACCGTGTGTCCAACAAGAAGTTTTATAAGCTCCAAAACAAACAAAAAACATAATACTTCTCTATTGTTGAGAAAATAGTACAAAAAATGAGTTTGTGTTTAAATAATGTGGCCTAAATTTGATGCAAAATAAAAACAATACAGAATTCAATTAATTCTTCAAAAATGTTTTTTTTTCGGCTGCTTCTTCTGCAGGGGTTGACACAAGACAACTTGCACATGAAATTTGGGAATAGTTTTGCGCTGAATGTATTTCCTGATACAACCTGGGCTCGAACCTGCAGCCTCAGGATTTAAGCGCCATGTGTTGTCATCATTAGAAGGAACAAAAGGAAGGAGGAACACAAGGAACAAAAACACCTACACCCCCCTGAACATAAGAGGATCTGTGGTGGAAGTGGTCTCCAGCTACAAGTACTTGGGTGTACACATGAATGACAACCTCAGCTGGAGCAACAACACCACCAGCCTGATCAAGAAAGCTCATCAGAGACTCTACTTCCTCAGGCGGCTGAGACGAGCTGGTCTGGGAAGCTCAGTCCTCACCTCCTTCTACAGGTGTGCAGTGGAGAGTATCTTGTGCTCCAGCATCAACATGTGGCATGGAGGCTGCACAGCTGCAGAAAGAAAAGCTTTGCAGAGAGTGGTGAAGGCTGCACAGAAGATGTTGGAGTCAGTCTCCCCACCATCACAGACATCTACACCTCTAGATGCAGGAAGAGGGCCACCTGCATCATGAAGGACCTCACTCACCCAGCACACACACTTTTTACCCCACTCCCCTCAGGAAGGAGGTTGAGGAGCATTAAGTGTAGAAACACTAGACTGAGGAACAGCTTCTACCCTGATGCTGTTAGACTCATGAATCTCTAACTAGAATAATCACCGTGAAAAACCATATCATGTTGCTGTTGATCTGTTTCATGTTGATGTGTTCATGCGTGCACATCCGCTCTCATAGACTCATGTTCATGTTTGTGCTGATGTTCAATGTTTTATGTTATGAGTGCTTAGTGTATATCTAGTTGATGTTTTTCTTAGTTCATATCTTAGATCTTGTTACTGTTTTTCTTATACATTTTATTGTTGGATGTAACTGGGACCCTGTGTACATAATTTTGCTCCACCACATGTACCACATGAGGTGCGAATGACAATAAAGAATCTCAGACTCTGATTATTTGTTTCCATACAATTAGTTCTCTGCATTTAACCCATCACACTTTAGATACACCCAGGTGGAGCAGTGGGCAGCTATGTAAGCACCTGGGGAGCAGTTGGAGATTGGATGTCTTGCTCAAGAGACACCACGACATGTGGGAATGACTGGGAGTCGAACCTGCTGCCCTACCACCCATCTCAGCCCCCAATAGGATTATGAGATAGCAGTACTGACAACAACATCCGAGTGTGAAAATACTAACTTAAATGTTCGACTCACACCAGCTTCTTAGCTATCTGAGGACTAATGTTCCCGTCATACACAGTTAGTGATGATTAAACATCTGGTAGTATATTTACCAGCATTTAGTAGACAACACCTGCCTGAAGTACAACCATACATCTACATCCAAAGGTTACTCTCCCTCTCCATTGCTGTCGTAGGTCACCAGAGTTCAGGTAATTATTGTTGGTAAAACTACAGACTGGTAAAATGCAGCCTTAGCTGTTTTTACTCAGCTTTCAAGGCAGTGAGAGATAATGTAACTGCTAGTGTCTGGTTTGTTTGTCTCTCATTAAACATGCACAGATTTTAATAAAACTTTTAGAAAGTAATCGGTGTCTGAACATGAGTCAAACCTTTTCAAAATGGCCGCCACAGTTTCACAGACGTTGAGCCAGATTTTGGTCTTTTAGTAGCCGAGAGCCTTGCTCAACACTTTGATTACTAACTTGGTTTCAAACCTTGGCAGATAACGCACCGATATGCGTACCTTCAAAGAATATTACTTTAACGTTGTACGATTTTAAAAACAATCATATGTATTTCTGTCATTTAGCTAGCACAATCTCTTTAAAGTGTCAGAGATCCTCTGACCAGCCTAACAACAAATAAATGTTAAGTAACAGATGCATTTGGGAGGCTGTGGCTGAGTGGTTAGAGCAGTCGTCCTCCAATGCGAGAGTTGGGGGTTCGAATCCACCAGCAGTCAAATGGCGGAGTGTCCCTGGGCAAGACACTGAACCTCTCATAGCCTCTGATGTGTGTCCCATCAGTGTATGAATGTGATAAAGCTCTGATTAGACTCTTTAGAAATATTTGTTCACTTAGCTTTGTATAGATCTAGTATAGAGCTGTATGAATGGGTAAATGAGGCACAGATTGTAGTGTAAAGCGCTTTGAGTATCTTGAAATAAGATAGAAAAACACTATATAAGTGCAGTCCAGTCCATTTCATTCACACTGATGTAAAACACTTGTGTTCATTAGACACTAATTACTCAGCTGTACGTCAATCATTTATGCTTTCAGTGGTGATTATGGCATCCCCATTCATTGGCTGGAATCCCTGGTCATAGTTGGTACAGGGATAAGGTTGTTTTCCCCCAATATTGCTTAAATGCATAGTTTCCTCAAATTATTTACTGGGGAGGATAATCTCAGTTTTTCCCAAATTGATGGGGTCTGGACCAATTGTGTAGGTGAATTTGGGTGGAGAAGCTTTGACTTTTCAGAAAAACTGAATGTCCTCTCTAATTCAATTCCTCCTGGCAGGAGACTTGATCCTAATCTTCACTTCCAGGCAGTTGTTTCCATACAGCACTGCTCAACGGGTTTCTATCAAACCAGAATTTTGGTGGTTACTGCTCACCATAAACGGCAACGTGAAACCTAAATTAAGTGCATGTTGTCACAGGATGCTTCAGAAGCTCACAGTAGCCTGTCTTATTACTGGACTCAAACTTTAAATATAATTTAAAAGACAAGGGTATCTAGGTCAATCATTTTTGGATAACTGAGTTATATTTGCACTTTTTAAGTAATTTAAATAAATTGAACATTAACTAAAATGTATGAAGTTGAAAGCTAGGTTGAGAATCAAAAGTCTTCCTCACAAAAAAATACACAGTATTTATCTCACCAGGCTAATAAATATTACGGTACTGTGAGTTTGCAATATTAGATAAAAGTTGATAAACAATCCTAAAGTGATGCATCACAATATCTAACTATGTAGTCCTGTTGTAACAGCTTCAACATTCTCGTCTTTGGATGGTCAAGTTTTTTATTTTCATTTACCATTTCAGCTCCTTTAAAAGGAGCCGTAAAAATCAGCTTGTGTGTTGCACACTCACCATATTGTGCTCTAATAATTAGAGCTCGACCGATACATCGGCAGGGACGATATTTTAGGCCGATGTAGACATTTGGGGGCCTATCGGTATCTGTGATAATTGGCCCATTATGCGTCGACATAAGTACTTCTAATGTTCACCCCTAAAATGCTAGAACAAGCGTAAATGCACAATGTATTCAGCAGAGAGCGCATGAAGACTACTTTCAAGTCATGGCCGTTCACTTAAGTTTCACTTTCACTTTAAGCACAGCAGAAGCAGCAAACAATACTG